ACTTGAGTTCTAGAAATCAGATGAATGACTTCTAGTACTCAAAATAAATATAGAAACATGCTCTACAAGTCTCATGTTTGCATCAAGATGATATGAGGCTTGCATCTTGAGATATGTGGTCTTGAAGTTAGGCACTAAACAAGGGATTTTACCCTGAGAACCCTAATTTAGTAACTCCCCACACTCTTGATTCTTGATGAATTGATCTTGAAATGATATCTCATGTGTCTCAACAGAACCTTCCATGATCACAGAGACTTGGAATTGAGTCTTAATCTCCTTCAAGTCCACAGTTGACTTAGGATTGGCCAGATGAAAACCCTAATTGCACCATCTTCAAATGTGACTCTTCATAATTGGTATAATGACTTGACTGAGCTCCACAATGACCCTCAAGGCCTCTAATGAGCTTTAATGACAATCTCCATCCATAACCATGGGCCTGTGATTCTCAAATGACCTTCAAATGGCCTCCTAGACAAGAAGGTGAACCATATACAATTATCTTCCTTTCCAAAGGGCTTTGACTTGAATACAACCTCTTAATTAGGCTTAGAACCCTTGGTGACTTCCTCTTTCTATGCACACCTCTATTGATCCCCTATAAATGCAAAATTCTATGCAATGCAATATGCTAGAACAATGAAACATAAGCCACATATAAGAAAAGTGGTTGGTTAAATTTTGGGGTACAACAATTATTATGATGAATTATGAGGACATGAGGTATGATGAATTATGATGACATGATGTATGAGGATGATTATTATGATGAATTATGATGACATGATGTATGAGGATAATTGTTATGACGAGCTATGACGTTTGATGATGATGAATATGATGAATGATGATGCACCTATGATGTTAATATGAGGATGATTTGTGACGTGTGCATCATGCCTTCATGTGCATCCGGACTTCGGTTCAGGACCTCGATTACTTTGGCTTCAATCCCACTGTGCGAATGTGAAGTATTATGATGTGCTCCAGTTCTCTAGTAGAATCGATCCTATTGATGGGGATCTATGGAGGGTTGATGGTCCAGTGTCCATCGTACTGTGATGATTGGTACCACATGCATTGAGTTGTGTTGCATTGCATTTCTGAGTCTTTTTGTATGAATTATGACATTGTGGTCTTTGAGGCATATCGAGGGATATGAATATGTTGAATATGATTATGATCCATTTATATGTTGATTTTCATACATTGATTATTATGAATTGTTTTACTCACCCTGCCTGTTTGGATGTTACCTCCACGTGGGTAACGTGCAGATGACCGAGTTTAGCCGTGGACGCCGTCGATGATTATTTTTAAAGTTCAGAGTTGTTAGCCTTTGGTTAACTTAGAGGGTCTTGCTCTGATAGTGTAACATCGTGTTGGGGTTTATGTTTTATTTGAGTTATTTTGATTAATCTTTCTGTATAAGGAAAACTTTGGATTGCCTTTTGAGTTCCGCTGCCTTTGAACAATTTTTGATATTGTTTTGGGAAAACCCGTTGTACACGGAGCATTGACTTATTTAGAGCTATTGAGAAATGTACACCCTTTGAGGTGAATTTTATTGAGTTAAATATTTTACTCTGATTTATGTGAAAATGTGCCTTTTAATTGTGGGTAAAAAAGGGTGTTACATTGCCAATTCCAGAATCATCATGACAATTCTGGAAATCTATCAAATGATGTTGTTAATTGAGTCATTCCGCACTTCTGCTGTACCCGTTACTGTTCTACTACCAAAGATCATATCATGTAAAATAGAAGCCATAAATTGGAAGAGACCTAATTCTATTTGGTGCAACATTAACAACAAAAGCATGTAGTGACCGACCATAGTTCAACTTCCCACAGGGAGAATATGTCTTATTACCTGGATCCAATTTGGATTCTCAAGACTCTGGTGTGTAGCAAGAACCTCAACGAAACCTTCATTTTTGTAGCCAACCAACTTCCTGACGAGTTCTTATGTTGTTTAATTTCTTTCCTAGAGGGCCATCAGTTGCTGCAAAAGCAAAGATTAAATGTAACATGCTCATAGAATCATACACACTTATGTGTATACCGGTAATCACTGTGAACAAAGGTATATCACCTTTGGAATTTCCAATAATAGAGTAACATTAAAAAGTAATGGCAAAAGCAATATACATGATATGAGCTATCATACCTCAGGGTAATTGTGACCGTCAACCTTATGCAACCGCATGACGAAATCCCGGGTTGACTTAGTAAATTTTTTAAGCCTCTGATATTGAATCATAAAATAAAAATTACTAAATTAAAAAAATTTCAAAACCGAGGGTAATATGGTAGAAAGGTTTTTACCGTAGAAGTTGAAGATCATGGTTTTTACAACGATGAAGCTCAACGCCAGCGTTGAAGCCACTATAACTTCGAAAAAGCTCAACGGAAACTTCAATGACGAAGGCTTATGAGAAATAACTAACATAACATAATATAAATAGGTAACACAACTATTTTTCATCCCAAATAGGAAAATATGAACAAAAATCTTTAATAACATATTAAAATATACCTTCACTCCATTCAAATCAAAGAAAACTAAAAGAGCATAAGGAAACAGGATTTGAGCTTGTTTCATCTTTGAGATACTGATGGTTGCAGATAAGGTGGAAACAGGACGACGACACTATAATGTTTCTGGGAAGAGAGGGAAGAAGAGAGAAACAGGGACGACGGAGAAAGGGGGCGGTGGTTAGGGTTTGAGAGGAAAGAGGAATGAGATAAAACAGGAAGGGGGGGAGAGAGAAGTGTGGGAAAAAGTTTGAATTGAGAGAGAGAGAGAGAGAGAGAGAGAGAGAGAGAGAGAGAGAGAGAGAGAGAGAGAGAGAGAGAGAGAGAGAGAGAGAGAGAGAGAGAGACTGTGTGTCTTTGAGTGGGACAGAAAAATGATTTCATAGGCCAATATTGGAGAAACACGTGGCAGCAAGAGAGGAAGTTTGAAGTGGAATTTTGTTATGTTTTGTTAGTTACTGATTTAACCTTGTGTTAGTGTAAAATGTTTTGGCTAAAAAGGCATATTTGACAAAGCATGCAATAGATTAGTATTAGATAAATAGTATACTTCTCGACTTCCATCGTCACATAATCAACATAATCAATCCCATTAGCTTTAAACTTGTCAATATATGGAGGAACACATTTCCTTGAACAAACTCCTATGTATGCACCCTAAAAAATAACTAAACATAAAATAAAAACCACTACATTAAAAATCAATATGTTCATAAGAAAATTGTCAAGCTAACTTACAGGGAGATCAAATATCTGATTAGCTTTTGCTTTCATCACAGGTTCAAAAGTTGTTGCTTCTTTATGCATTCCGTTGCAAAAAACGATCGAATTGTAGGCTTGAGAAAAACCTAAAATGAAATAAGAGAGAAATTTAGAGGAAGAAGTTTTTAGAAGAGTAACATGTTGTTCTGATACAATCTTCTTTAACCACCTCAAACCAAAAAACAATCTTCAGCCATAATCCATTCCAAAACAACCTGCACAAACCAACATACACCCATTAATAACACGATCTCAGGACATAGAACAAAATCATTAAGGAGGAGGAAGAACGAGATTTCTTTTTTGAAATAGTGAAAACCAAAACTCCTTTTTCTTTTTCATATAAAAGAATAACTTCATCTCTGAATCAACCTTGACATTTCACTTCTACGGAGAAAAAAACAGAACGTCATCATATGAAGAAAAAAATGAGAAACCATCTTTTTCATATCCGCCTCCACCATTCGAAGCCGCAACCTCTGATGACTACTCAAGCGCCCATCTATGAGATCACTCTATCTCCACGCATAATCGTTTCACCAGAAAAGATACTCGCAGTCACCACCGCGTTGCCGCCATCATGAAATATTGAATGTATGAATCTATCCCGTTTTTCTTTATGATTCCAATTCCTTGTTGAGTGAGGGAGGAGGTTTATTGTTGCATTTTTTCGGAGAGATCAAAAGTTCTTTTTTGTTTTGTTGTATTAACAGAGAAGAAGAAGAAGAGAGACAAAGGCTTTTGATATGAGCTTGTGAGAATGAGTTTAAATAGAAAGAGAAAAGAGAAATAGAAGAGAAATATGGAAGAGAAGAAAAGTCTAGAACGTGTGAAAGAGAGAGGGGAAGTGATAGGTTTAAATGTGAATACATAGGGTTATGGAGATAATTAATGCATTGTTTACTATGTTAATCAATTAAAAATAAAATAAAAATATAATATAATATAAATAGTATAATTTAATATAAAATTATTTTAAAAATGTAATAGCATGACACATAAACAAAATTTAATGTCAAACGAACGTGGTTTGAGCAAAAGTTCAAATAATCAAATTTAACACTAGAATAAAAAAGTTTTAACGTACACTCACACTTGACTTTTCCAAATACTTATGTTTTTATATATAAATAATAAGATATAGATTTTTCAAACACAAAGTTTCTACGTTTAATAGAAACATTCCATTTATAAGTTATAACTTTTTTTTTTTTATTCATCTGCCTTTAGAACACAAATTATTATGACTTTGTTTTTTATAATTTAAAATGCATCCTTTTTACTAAATTAAATAATTGAATTTGATCTTAATTTAAAATCAAATCAAATCAAATCAAATTTAATCTTATCAAAATTCAAACTTTAAATCAAATCTAAGGTAATATTTATATCAATTTTCATAAATTATATCTAAATAAATTTAAATTTAAATTTATTTTAAAATATAGTAATAAAAATAAAAATAACAATACTAAATAATAATAAAAAAAATTCATCTTAAAACTCAAATTTAACTTTGATAGACAATCTATAACAAATTGATAGAGAAAATCTATAGCAATCTGTTTTGATTTAAAATTTATAATTCGGATATTTATCATTAATAGATTTAGGGTATGATATTTTCTACGTTGATTATATATATAGAGTATCACATTCTTCACTCTTTAATCCGATTACTCTAAAAAGCAAACACAATGGTAGTAGAAGAAGAAGTATCTTTACCGGAAGATTGTTGGCAACATGTGTTCAAATTATTCTTGAACCATGATGGTGACCATCACTTTTTACAATCTCTTTCAATCGTTTCAAAACAGTTTCTCTCCATGACGAGCTGTTACCGAGTCTCTCTCACAATCTCTAATCAAACCTTACCTTTTCTTCCCCGCCTCCTCCGTAGATTCACCAACCTCACCTCCCTCAATATCGCAAATTTCTCTGGTGATCGCGATAGGCTTCTCTACGAAATCTCTTGTTTCCCTTTACAACTTAAGTCCCTTAACCTTTCTAACCACCCCGCAATTCCCATACATGGACTGCGGGTTTTCTCTCAAAAAATTACAACTCTGACCTCTCTCGTTTGTTCCAACATTGTATACATTTATAAAACTGATTTATTTTTTATTGTTGATTGTTTTCCTTTACTCGAAGAACTTGACCTTAGTTTTCCTCAACTTATTGATTTCTATGATGATTTTAAAATAAGTGACCTTACATTAGCACTTCCTAAGCTCCGCAAGGTTAATCTCTCTGGTATTTACTACCTCAACGACTCATGGATTTTTCATCTTTGCAAGAACGGTAAGAATCTTGAAGAGGTTGTAATGATTAAATGTGAAGGTTTAACTCATACAGGGATTGCCTTTGCTCTCCGCGAGAGACCAACTTTAAAGTCTTTCGCTATTACTATTTCCGAGAAAGTGGAAGGATTTATTAGTTTGGAGTTGATTGATTCTCTAAGGAGTATGAAGAGTTTGAGTAGTCTTGATTTGTCGTTTTCCTGTATCTCAGATGAATTGCTCTTATCTCTTGCGGATGAACGTCTTCCTCTGAAGAGAGTCGTCCTTAATCGTTGTAGCAACTATAGTTATCCTGGAATTTTTTACTTGGTATCCAAGTCTCAGTTTTTGCAACATTTGGATCTTCAAAATGCTATATGTTTGGATGATTATCGCGTTGCCGGGTTGTCTTTTTTTCTTAATAATTTGATATCTATAAACCTTAGTTATTGTCGGAAGCTCACGGAGAAGACATTGTTTGCACTTGTTAAGAGCTGTCCTCTATTGGATGAGATAAGAATGGAATACACATCTATGGGAAATTTGGATGTAAAAAAGTATAGTTCTCTGACGAATTTTGCTGTAGAGCCTCCATTGAAGTCTCTCCATATTTCTTCCAATCCATCGTTAAATGATGAAAGCATCAAAAAATTTGCTTCTATCTTTCCAAATTTGCAAGTACTTGACATCAGCTCTTGTCGGGCGATATCAGAAGGTATTGTGGAAGTTTTAAGGAGATGCATTAAAATTAAGCATTTGAACTTGACATCTTGTTCAAGAGTGAACCTACGCGAGATGAACTTCCAAGTTCCTAAACTGGAGGTGTTGAAATTATCAATGACAAACATTGATGACGAAACACTCTGTGTGATCTCAAAGAGTTGTTGTGGACTACTACAATTGGATTTGAAACATTGTTTTAATATCACCAAGAAAGGGGTCAAAGAAATAGTAGAAAATTGCACGCAGCTAAGAGAGATAAAATTGTAGTATTTGTCATAAAGCTGATGTTGCTTTAACTACATTCATAGATATAACTTCAGCTAAGACTTGCGTTTGTTTAATAGCAGTTCTTCACAGAACCTCCCAAGGGGAAAGTTGCCTCAAACATTGTTTGATTAATTGAAAGTTTATTTATTTTTTCACCTTTGGTCTGTTGTTCATGAAGTCTGCAACTACCTCTACTAGTATATGCACTCTTTTGTTTTTAAACTCAATGTTGTTTTCAAAATGCATTTAAAAGGCCAAAAATGCTATAAAAAATTGAATGCAAATATTAACAGCTTCCAAGTTGAATCAAAATGGAAATCAAGCTTGACTGATAAACTAAATTTTTATCTGTCTAATTTCAACCAAAGATGACCACCACATCCATATATTGCTGTAAAACTAACATAAAGCTGATAAACAACAACAATAATAATCTAAAATTCAATTTTAATCCTTTTAAAAAATTTCTTCAAAGAAAGGTAGCTTTAAATTTTTCCATCCATACTTTTGATCTCTACCATCTATTTGGTCTAACAGAAACTAATATGACACGGCACATCGCACACCAAGTCACTTAAATTCAACACTACAAAAAACATGAGACAGATTGCGAGGTTTAGAAAAAAACTAAAGAAAGTTAACATGACAATATATTTGCTTGCATATGGCAAAGAAAGCATATGCCATCTGAATGGATTAGTCAAACTGGCTGCTTAAACTCAATGTACCACTTTCTTATCAATTAATTTCTCCATCCATCATCATTCCTATATATATATATATATATATATATATTATATTCTTCCTCTTTTATATATTTCTAACAATCCATTTCAACTTTCAAATGAGGTGTTGCGAAAAAGAAAGTATTTGTGCAAATGATGTGTTGATGAATTGATAGTTGTTGAAAAAGAAAGTATTTGTGAAAATGTTCAGAAATAGTTTGATGAAATTCCTGAGAGAAATGTTTTCAAAAGGAAAGAATCAGAGGCACGGTGTTTGTATGAACTTGTAACATTACTATACAATAAAGGTGATGAATCACCAGTGTCTTACACCTATGCAACACCGATTATTCACATCGGATGTGCCACCAGTGTCTTGGTCCTGCTTCATGGCAATGAAAATAAACTTTAATGGGCAGAACTTTTATGTTTGGTATGTTAATTTTGTGACGTTCTAGGGAGTCTATGAAGAATTGATGTTGAAACTGTGTGGAAAGCTCCATGAAATATGGAGCACAAAACAATTTGGTGAACAAATTTATCATAAAATTGGAACAATTTGGTATGTTGAACAGCAAGTTTTAAATTGCAGGTGATTTAGTGTTTTGTTGCAAACTGATGTAAATTCCCAGAGTTACTTCAAACTTGCAGACAAAATGGAGGTACTTTACTATGGTGTATTGACTAGCATAACTCCATTATTATGATACTGATGAGTATCAAGCCTTTTGTAATTTGTTTTAAGCTCCGACATATTTATGCAATTTTAGTCTCTTTGGATAATGTTGCAGTGATAATAGGATATCAAATTATTAATTAATTTAAATCGCAAATTTTTGATTCACAACCAGTATTTAATTTATCGGAAGGAAAAATCTAATTTTGCATCGTAAACACAATATGGGGAGAGATCTAGGGTTCGGGAGTTAGTTAATCTTAAGTAAGGTATTAGCACCCTAAACTTCTGTAGTACTCTACAGGAACCTCTTGTTTTAATGACGCTATTTTACTAAATTATTTGCTTAAGATTTATATGCTAAGGGTTAGAAGGTGAAAGAAAGACCTAAGGGTTAGTCCTAAGTTTACTCGCCAAGATTTGCATCTTATGCCTACATATCCGAGGCAGGGGATGAAATCGTTCCCCTCGAAAGGGAGGAAGAGAAACTTCTTAACCGTGGTCAAGGTTTTAATGGGGATGCAAACGTTCTTAAGGAAACGCTTACGTGGAGTGCGACGACTCCGACTCCTATTTCTACGTTGAAATTGAATTGAATTGAAAAGGGTAAAATAGGTATTCCACGGCGGGAAACATAAAACGGAGTGCGGCGACTCCCTATTCTAATGCTAGGGTAAAAGGTAATTTGATCCACGACGGAACGCCTAGGCAATTAGGGTTTGAAAGATGAAATGGTCAAAGGTAAGGACTATTGACGCGGCGGTCAAACGGTTAGACCTATTCCTTCGGAGGGGAATTAACGGTAAATAATGCAATGACAAATAATTAAGCAACAAAATTAAAATATGAGAAAGTGCGAGAATAATAAAGGAATTGAAAAGCAACGATGTCCTCGCATAAATTATAACCATGAAAATGAAATACGAAAAATAAAGGATTAGTAACCGTACAAATGAGAAATACGAAAGTCGGACATAAAAATTAGACGAAAATAAACGGGGCAAGGGATCAAATCCGCACTTAGGTGACGGTTCAATTAAAAACTGAAAGCGAAATGCTAAAAAATTAGGTTAGACAAGTTTTAAGAAATATTTTTATAATTAATTAATTTTAAGACAATGGTAATAATTGCTTTAGAAATTTTAATTTACAAAAAGAGTTTTAATTTAAAAAATTAATTTTTAATTATGTTAGGTTTTAATTTATTTAAAAAAAGTCTTAGTTTAAAAAAAGTGATTTTTCAATTTATAAATGTTAATTTAATTTATTTATTTTTGTTAGAATTTAATTTTAAATTATAAAAAATTAATCTTTTAACTAAAGAAATTTAATTTTCAAATTAAGGTTTTTAAATTAAATTTTAAATTTTAAAATTTGAGTTTTAATATTAAGTTTTAAAAAAAAAAGGTTTTAAATTATTAAGTTTTGAAAAATAAGTTTTAACTTGAAGTTTTTAAAAAAATGGTTTTAAATTCTAAAACTAAATAGAATTTATAATTTTATTTACAGAATTTTAATTAATTAAATTAAACTAAAAATAAAATAAATAAAAAAAAGAAAAACAAAATATAAAGGAAAGAAAGGGTCAAATGTGTTGGCAATTGTTAGGGTTTTGAGGAACCCTCTTCCCCTCCCTCTTACGTTCGCGGCACATCCATCTTCATCTTTTCCATTTATTTTTCTTCCATTTTCGTCCACCATTGTTGTGTTTTTCTTCTTCTGAGCTTCTGATGATTTCTGCAAAACAAATTAAAAAATGCACGGTTAGCACAGATTGCTCACCCTTTTCTACTGGATTGGAAGCGATTTGGAGCTAATGGTGACTAATGAACGATGATGATAGTGTTTGAGTTCTTGGTGGTGATGGAGATGTCGTTTTACTCTTCTGTTCTCACCACGGATGAACCTTGATGAACTGTGATGTTGAGTTTCCAACAATCTCCTTCTTGCGGTTGAACTCGCGGATCCCCCCTTTTGTTCTTGATGTTCTTCCTTCTTTCCTCTTATGAACTGATGATGTTCTTGCTGATGGTTTATATTATGATTTTTTGTGGGCCTGAGCATGGTTGTTGCAATTTTTTATGATCTATTTGTTGTGTTGGTTTGTTATTGAGATTTTTGAGGCTGGTTTATTGTTGAGATTTTTGAGGCTGAGGGTTTGGAACGGAAGGGCTGCGTTTTTTCATCTGTTGATTTTTGTTGCATTTTTGTTGGAGTAGAGAAATCTGTTGCGTTTGATTTCTGTTCTGGTTGTTGTTCGTGGTGGAACTGGATTTGGATTTTTTCACTTTGGATATCCATGGATTTTTTCACTTTGGATATCCATGGATTTGACATTGAACTGGATATCCATATTGCTTTGCTGGATTTTTATTATGACCCGTTTGACTTTGAACGAAAAATCAATTTTCCAAATAATCACTTTTTCTCTCTCTTGGAATAAACTATGAACAGATCATTGCCAGATTCGTGCCGAGGTTGGAAATTAAAAGTCGGGGGATGCGGCGACATTTATTTGTTGCTCCTCCCGACGTACCCGATGATGAAACATAACTGAGAGTATCAAACTGATTAATAAAAACAACTTTTTAATTAAATGGATGCTAACCAGTTGACGATTTTCCACGTGTTGTCGGTTTTGCAGGTTCGAAAAGTCGAAGGTTGAAGATTGGCGAGAAGACAATTAGGACTTTTAGGAAAATAATTAGGTGTTTTAATTTATTTTGTAATTCCCGCAAATGTAAATTGTAAACGAAATTGTAATAAATAAGTTCAATAAAATGAACTCTTAATTTCCGACTCAAAATTCAATTCGTATTTCTTTCAAATAAACTCGACGTTTCATAACCTAACTTCGGCAATTAACAAATTCACATCCAACACACTTCTGAATTCAACCGGACCCTTGAAAATTAATTCGCACTTGATAATAAAATTGGTGAATATTGCCTTTGACCAGATAAACATAAAAGTCCCATTTTTAATAACATGAATTTTCCTCTGACCAAATTCTTCTGACTAAAAAATTAACATTTCAATGTCCGACTTCGACAACTAAACATCTCGCACAACTTAGAATTAAATTTTATCCGACTTAACTCCTGAGTTTAAACAACTCCTTTTGCAAATTAGATCGTACCAGATAATAAAATCGGTGAATATGGCCTTGAACAGATAAACAGAGAAATTCACTTTAGCGGCAAAACGAACTTTCCTCTGCATCTAAAATCCCGACTGTGTCTTGAATAATCTAACTTTGTAACTTGAGTCGATTCAACTAAAACTTGCGATCAAACCAATGGAATATTTATTATAAACTCCCTGCAAACTGAAATTCCCCCGTTCCTCTAAAATTGACTAATAATCAGGAGAAACAAACAGGAAAACATGCATATGTCAGAATAAATTCCCTGCAGCCGATTTTCGCACCGATCCAACCCAAATTCATTTCTATTTCAACGCACTAAGCTCCATATGATTTATGAATCAAAAAACATTTCACAACTCGACTGATAACTACTTTTGGTGCTTGAACCAAACTGTACTGTGTCGAGAGAAACCTAACGTCAAAATCGTCGTAAAATTCAACCGTTCTCAGA